GGGCTACAGGAGCAGTGGAGCCACGTAGCTGGGGCTACAGGAGCAGTGGAGCCACGGAGCTGGGACTACAGGAGCAGTGGAGCCACGAAGCTGGGGCTACAGGAGCAGTGGAGCCACGTAGCTGGGGCTACAGGAGCAGTGGGGCCACGAAGCTGGGGCTACAGATGCAGTGGAGCCACGTAGCTGGGGCTACAGATGCAGTGGAGCCACGGAGCTGGGACTGCTGGAGTCTTTTTGTTAAGGCTTCCTGTTTAAGACTTTCGATAGATATCAGTCCTTATAAGTGATAGCCGTTACCACATTGGGCAAACAGCCTCTTATCTCAATCTCCCCATAATGCAAGGTAGAACTGTTGCCACCTCAGGCGCACACCACCTTCCCAACAAGTTAAGGGGAGCCAAGTTAGGCAGTTTGTAACCTAACTTCTGCACCTGCAACCTATCTTACAAGTGTAGCCAAGACCTTCAGACGGTGTGTACGTGTAACTACATCACAACTTTGCCCTGATTAATTACTACATAAACTGGCAACAATGGGCCCCTTTCAGAGATTAAGGTTTGTGTTTTCTCATTTTGCAGGAATATAACGATTCTTTGTGTTTTATATACGAGTAGGCTGGTATACTTATGAGGTATACCCGGTATACCCAATATACTATGTCTTGCAATTATAATTTGTTTTTGTTTAGTACAACTAACAACTCGCATTATTTATTTAGTGTACATGACTTGTATGTGATTATGATCACAACAAATTAGAGAAGAATTATAACTGGCAACATTTGTAACAAATAAAGTTGTGATGAATACAGCATTTAGGCTCGAACCCCGGCCAGGTTGAGATAGTTGCGAATACCGTTCTTTCACCCTTTGGTTTCTTTACACGCAAAAGTAATTTGGGACCTTGCTGTAAAACTATTGGAGAATCGTGTTCTGTGCAAAAAAACTAGTGCTGAATAACCATATAAGTGCATGTCTTTGACTGGAGTCCTAACTCTCAACATTAAAAACATTAATTGTTTTCTCAAAACATTTGTGGAAATAGAAGGAACGATCTCCTACTTCTATGTTACATATTTCGTGCAGCTTCAAGAGGTTCTGTCGCTCCTCAAGAAATTTCTGAGAGTTCTGTTTCAAGTATGCGAGCTTTATTTATTGGAGATGAAGTTCCCAATGTTAGGGAGACTGAACTACAATTTCAGGAGATTTAGTAAAGAAAAAAATTGAAAGAGAGCTTCAGTTTTAGGGACCAGTCTACATCGGAAACGTGCTCCAAATTTTAGGGATGAAACTCTATCATTTTGATTGTTATAGCTCCAGTTTTTAGGGGGATCAAGTTTCACTTTTTTAGGTTACAAACCTTAAACTATTGAAGCAATAAGTATTGTGATTATATAGTTTAGCGTGGAAAGACTTGAATGTGTCCATGTATCACAGGCTGTAGTGAGCCTGTAACTGGAATTCAGAGTGCCAAGTTCTCTTACATATATATACAGGAAAGGAGTCTGACTCCGCCATTTCATTCGAGTCAGTTGTATAGGCTTGGTTCTCGGCCCGGAAAAATGCCAAGGCCTATGACCTCATACGTTGATGTGGGTGGAAATCCACGTCCAGCTATACAGGGGGTCACGAGGTCACTCCAGTATGTATAGGTTGAGGTGCCGGTCGGCCGAGCGGACAGCACGCTGGACTTGTGATCCTGTGGTCCTGGGTTCGATCCCAGGCGCCAGCGAGAAACAATGGGCAGAGTTTCTTTCACCCTATGCCCCTGTTACCTAGCAGTAAAATAGGTACCTGGGTGTTAGTCAGCTGTCACGGGCTGCTTCCTGGGGGTGGAGGCCTGGTCGAAGACCGGGCCGCGGGGACACTAAAAAAAAAAAAAGCCCCGAAATCATCTCAAGATAACCTCAAGATAGCTGAAGGTCAGTCTCGGAGCTCTAGATTTCATTGGGTTCAATTCTCAAATGTATTGTATTGGTGTATTTTTGCATTTATCAATTTGTAGGTATATCAATATATTCAAAAAGACGTGATTGGGTAGACACGCAATCACGTCATAGTTTTTAGAGTAATAGTAAAGAGTAAACCAAAATTTTAGACAGATTAGTAAGTGAACATTTTTGACGTTGCCTAGCTTTATTATTATTAATAATGAGAAAACCCGTAGGAGCAGTGATGAGGGTTCGAACCTATGCGGTGGGTGTTCATACGCACTAGCGACTAGACCACGACATGGTTATATAAAAAAAAAAAAAAAAAAAAAGATTGCAACCTGGAGTTCTACTGAACTCCTACGGATTTTCTCGCTGACGCAATCAAGTTAGTGTGATTACTCTCTGATTATTATTAATTATTATTAATTATTATTATTATTATTATTATTATTGAGTGTGATCGCCTGTGCTGACAGCAAGGTAACAACTTATTCAGTAAATTATTTTTCTTTATTTTGGGGGGGGGGGGTGATGTGAACTAATCTGTGTTGCACTAATTTGCACAGTGCAGTGTCTAGGTCCTGTCACCCTCGGTAACAGCCGAGCAACTACCAAACTGTGGTGATTGGGCACAGCTATCAAGCAAAGTGATATGACGTAGGTTGGTGATAAGAACCTTGATTCAGGCCTACAATCCACACTGGTCTTTCAGATGATGATGATATTCTTCGCTTTCGCTAACACGTTCACAGTAAGACAGTCTACGGGCTCACCCTAGCCCGTGCTACTTGGAACTTTTCGTTCCAAGTAGCGAATCTTAACAGCAACAACGTTCACAGCCTATTTGCTTTGTTTTATCATACATAGTTATTAAAATTGATATTATTTTGATCATTTTTATTTGGTAGAGATCTGTCTCTTTTTACTGTTGTGTACCCCTCTCTACCTGGTTTGTATCGGCGAATATGGAAGCAATGCCTGAATGATGCACAATTGCAAATTTCACTGTGAAAGCTTAAATTAATTTATAATTGTGGTCACTGATGTGAAAATTGCAAATTTAATATGCGCAAAAATGTTGCAAATTATACAAATATTTAATAATTTGATTGGCATGTTAATTTGAGTAATCTTATTACTATGTATTAAAGGTACAAAGGTCTGGAATCATTATTTCGGGAGAGAAAATCTTATTTTGGTGCAAAATATGACAATAAATACACTGAATTATGAAATCCACGAATGTAAAATGAAACCCTGAAGTAGCTATGATAGTTGGTTATATAGACTTGCTGGGGATTTTAATCATTGTTCTATATACATGTATCTCTCTCTCTCTCTCTCTCTCTCTCTCTCTCTCTCTCTCTCTCTCTCTCTCTCTCACACACACACACACACACACACACACACACACACACACACACACACACACACACACACACACACACACACAGTCTTCCCTAATTGGCTGGCTCAAATTTCAAAGCAGACCCCAGCATCTGAAGATTGGGTAAAACATAGAGAATAACAATCTTAACACAATGGATTCCAATCATATCTTACAGAGACATAGCCACTAAATCATTGCATACATATATGAAGAAGTAAGACCAGTTGCAGCACATTACCGTACAGTCAAATCCCCCTATTTTACTGCAAAATTATCTTCATATCACCATTATCAGTCCCCTACACCTCATCACAACTCATCCCTTCCCCCTCCCCCATCTTCCTCACCTCACTAGCCCACTACTCATCACCATTTACCATCACCCCCACTCCACCATCACCCCCACTCCACCATCACCCCCACTCCACCATCACCCCCTCCATTCCAACATCTGCGGGTAATTAACTGACGGGCTGAGTTGAGCAGCGTTTCTGGACGACGTCGTAGAGGCCGGATTAAAGCAACTTATTTCATCTTAATGTGTGATAACTTGCGTGTGTGTGTGTTCACCCAAACATGCGCCCGAGACTTGACCCAATTAAATAAGTTTACTTGGAAATACATTGGTTGGGTTGGTTGCCACCTATGTAATCCCCGACCCCCCCCCCTCTTCTATACCTATTCCCCGACCCCCCTTTTATACCTATTCCCCGACCCCCTATCTATACCTATTCCCCGACCCCCTATCTATTCCTATTCATCGACCCCCTCTCTTCCTTTTTAATCCCTGTGTGTCTTTGTAAATGAACTGAATCTTACCTTATATCTCCTACAAATTTACCGGCTTGGAATAAATTAATTTCAATAGATACTATGTATTTAACTCGGTTATGTATTAAATTATGATATTATGAATCAAATAGTTTTTTAATCAAATTTAACAAATTATAAATCAAATGAAAGAAATGAATCAAATGAGATAAATTATAAATCAAATAAAACAATTATGAATCGAATTAATAATTGAGATAACTGTAACTAATCCTGTCAGCTGAAATTGGTTCTCAGCAAATACAAAAATGAGGTTAAAATACCATTTACTAAAACTAATTTTGAAGGAATATGACTTTACTAAATAAAATTTACACGAGCAACCTAAAATCTTTTAAGTGTTATAATATTTTAAGTGTAAATTAAAACCTATTAATTGTAAATTAAAACCTTTAACTGTAAATTAAAACCTCACACACACGACTCGATAACTGGTCCAGGACGAACCAAAAAGTCGTCGTTTCTCCATCTTCTGATGTGTCGTTTGGTCGTCATATATAAGTGTGTAAAATACCCTTAAACAGTCAAAAAAATAATAATCAAACACCAGATACGCGTTGATAAATCCAAGAGAAATTAAGCAACGCAGAAAGTTTTGGATTACAATCCCTTTATTTATTTGGGAAAGAAGATACATGACTGAGACAGGTTTTATGTATTTGGTGATCAATATTGTGAACCTTTACACTTGCCACACCTCGCAACCGAGTTAAACCTTGGGGCCAGATTCACGAAAGCACTTACGAACCTGTACATCTTTTCTCAATCTTTGGCGGCTTTGCTTACAATTATTAAACAGTTAATGAGCTCCGAAGCACCAGGAGGCTGTTTATAACAATAACAACAGTTAAATGGGACGTTTTCATGCTTGTAAACTGTTTAATAAATGTAACCAAAGCCGTCAAAGATTGAGGAAAGATGTAAACATTCGTAAGTGCTTGCGTAAGTCCTTTCGTGAATCTGGCCCCTTGTCTTGTGTGTGGCCTCAGAGCCGATAACGCAGTTCAAGGTCCTTAGTAAACCTTGAGACCTAGGTTCTCCAGGTCACTTCGGAGGGTGAGGGTCATGCCGTCTGTGAAGGGTCTGGCGGGGAGACGGACGGGACCCATGTCCAGTCCTGTGAGGAGTGTGGTGGCCGTCTTAAGACACGCCACTAAGTAAGCCGGACGAACTGAAAAGAAAAAGATACAAAAGGGTTATCTGGAGGTTATCTGGAGATGATTTCGGGGCTTTTAGTGTCCCCGCGGCCCAGTCCTCGACCAGGCTTCCACCCCCAGGAAGCAGCCCGTGACAGCTGACTAACACCCAGGTACCTATTTTACTGCTAGGTAACAGGGGCATAGGGTGAAAGAAACTCTGCCCATTGTTTCTCGCCGGCGCCTGGGATCGAACCTAGGACCACAAGTCCAGCGTGCTGTCCGCTCGGCCGACCAGCTCCCTGATACACAGGGTAATACAGACAACGCCTTGAAACGAGACTGGGATAACCCCCCTGGTCTCGTTGGAACAGCAACGGTCTCTCTTCTTGCAGGGCAGCGTTCGATCCCCCGACGACAAACCCAATCGTTGGGCACCATTACTTTCCTCCGTCCTATTCTAGATTCTAAGTCCAATTCTAAGGGTTATGTAGGGCTGAGCTGAACGTTTTCTTGTGTTGATTATCTTAACCTTGGCCCAGACGGAAAAGGAGAGGAGGAGCGTGGAAGAGAAACAGAGAAGGCTAATTGATAAGTTCTTGAAAAAGTAAATGTAATTTTTAAACAACAAAATAACACGTCCTCCATCCGGCTCATTAGTGGAGCCTCACGGCCGCAGCTTGCAGATACAAAAACATAAATACAAAAAAATACTAAAAATGTGAACAAAGAAATAAAAGCAAGGAAATGGGGGAAGGGAGGGGGGGGGGGGGGTGGAAGAGGAGGAGGAAAAGTGAGGGACAAATTAAGGGGGGGGGGTCAGGAAGTGTCCGGGAAAAGCAAAGAGCTTCTACCTGTTGGTTGATCACAACATAGATTCCCACTCTCACAAGTTCATAGGTCGCCCACCAACCCTCACTGCAACACTTTTCAACGTCAACCTTTTTTATTTGATGCATTGTCCATCAGCCGTTTTAAATACATTTTTTGAATTCGATCTTGGGGTCAGCATCTAATTATTTTTTTGTTTACGTCCATCTAAGTTTTGTTTTCATTACAAATCTTGCTTCTATTTGTTCCATATATCTGATTCTCTCTCAATAACACACTCTTGACATACAGCCTGGTGATTACACATTTAGGTGAAACACACAC